AAACATTTCCATTATTTCAAACCCGATTTAATGTAATCAAATTTGTCCAGGGGAGCGAGTCAGCCTCCAGCAACAATTTCCCATGTGCACCAAATCTGCAGCACCGTATACGTATTACATCTCTCAAAAAAGTCTTTTTATTATTTACACTGACTGACTGCTGGATCTCATCTTCTTCTTGGTCTGTCCGTTCCTATGTGCGTACATATTAAGTCAGAATGGGTGAGGGAGATGAATAATAGCTTATCTGCGAGGGAGATAAGAATTTGGTGGATAAGTGCGCGCGGTTGATCACTCCAAGTCTAATACATATTCTGGGACTTGAACCCATTAAGAGATTCCATGCTGGTCTCATCGTCGTGGTCCGCATGCATGTCCCACCACAATCTTGGGTCGTTCCCCCAAATTCGGAAATGCTTATTGAATATTATTCTTGGCATTAGTATGGAAAAATGGTGGAGGCAGCGTGTCCACCTCGTCCGCTGCTTCCCAAATTGAAATATTATTTAATGGAAGAGCATCTGATTAATGGACGAAATTACGCCCACAACAACTCGCATTCATTCACCAAGCACAAACAATAACTCACTTGACACTGCTTGCTTGAGAACAAACATTGGAATAATTACCGAGCTTGCTGCTTCAGATTCGTCCACTTTTTCCTCCTTGTTCCCATCAGAATATTTCTCACCGTATTCACATTTACATGTGCACCATAAATAAATACTTTATGTACCAGATTCTGTAAGGAAGCAGCAGGATTGTACCCAGAATTCTTGACTTAGGTCAGTTTTATCTTATCCTCATATTATGTAAATGATGAAAATGTGTTACGAGGAGGAAACAAACATTGGACCCAGATAAGTGCATACGTCGTTGGTTGCCCTTAACCTTCCCAATGCTGGTGGACGATCGTATCATGTCCACATCTGGACGGGCTGTGGATGGGCCCTGCTCATAATTCCCTAATTATGCGTTTGAACGACATAATTGATTCCAGGGCAGAGAGCGTACACACGTCGTATGCATGATATTCATGGAAATGTGTATGTCGAAGAAGCGGAAGAGTGAAATTGCTGGGGAATTGTTGAACCCTTCATTCACTGGGTCCGAACATAGCTCATTGAATAACAAGCGACTTTTTTCATCTCGAAAAAACCTGGAAAGTTTTTAAAAAGAGACCTTGAAACTTCCAATTTGGAAGAATTTACAAGTTTAAGCAATTTGGGTTTGAGTGAAGCAACAGAAGGTGACTGGGCAGGAGGAAAGGTTGAGCATGCTGGAGACTCCACTTTTCCGCTGCTATCTTTATTTGAATCATTGCCTTGTTGTTGGTGAGCATTTTAACAATTTGAAAGTAAAAGGAACAACACAACGAGTAAATCTTTGGGTAGGTTAAGGTCGCTCCTTGCTCTGGAGGAGAGACTCTGAGCTTATCACCCACCGATTTTAATACCCTCGTGGAATACGTTCTAGTAGAAGACATGCAATGGTTATGAAATTTTCAAAACTATTTAAAAGTGAAAAAAAGTTTAGTTTGATAAAACAACTATCTTGAGCAAGAATTTTCGAATCCGAGAAAAATTTTTGGCGAGCGCATGGCGCATGAAGACGTTAATTTTCGCAATTTCGTAATTTTTGCCCCTTTGAATTGACGTGGGGGGCCAAATGGAGTCAACCCATTCGGAGTTTTAAAAAATACACTCTTCGGGCACTTAACATATCCAAAGGGCATCAAAATGGGTGGGTGATAAGGTCTGAGTCCCTCTTTCTCAGTCAGTCAGCGGTGGTGATGAGGATGGTGGATGACTCGGCTGCATTATTATTGTGTCTAAAAATGCTCCAATCCTAATACCATCTTTGAATGTAAAACTCTTTTTTACACTCTTAGTCGGTGGTAGTGAGTTAGTTAAACCCATTAAACTTATCTGAATATGTGCAAGTTTGGGAACGGAAATGCAGGTTGTTTCGTCATCCTTCTGTTTAAGCAAGTATGCACGAGGACTTTTTTGCGTCAAGGTTAGCTCCTGTAAGTTCGGTTAGGATGAGACGAATATCAGGTTAGTTTCCAGTGAATTTCATTCATTGACTTAGATAATTAAGCATCGGGGTAATAATTAAAGAACGTCCGGGAATGAATGGGAATGCGCGCTCTAGCGAGTATATTGACAAATCAATAAACCCGCGAACTATAATAATTTAAATTTCTGAAAGCCCACTTCATTAGGGTCAATTTGGTATATCACTCTTAAATTTCAAAAATGGATAAGGGTAGAAGAAGCTTGTTTGAAAGGGAGCTGTTAGCAAAACGAGTGATGGAGTTCTACAACACGACAGCCAACCGAGACTCCAAGGTGACCTGGAACTTTTTTAAGCAGGAAGGAATTCCAAGTTCAAATGTGTATTCCTACATAAAAAAGTTCAAGGATTCCGAAAATGTGCAATTCAAGAAGCCAGCTGGTCGTCCGGCGAAGCTAGCGACCACTCGAGTGAAAAATAGAATTGAAAAAATTTTCAAAACCAAGCCCTCAACGTCAGTAGCTGTAGCTGCCAGGAAAGTCAAAATTTCCAAAAGCTACCTGGGGGAAATTAAGGTCCAATTAGGAATCAAAGCAAGGACCAAAAAACCTGCACCAAATTACAAGCCCGTACAAGAAAGTCGGATCAAGGATTGCTGTCAAAAATTGTTGAAGAAAATGCGTGGAAAAGTAGTGATCCTGGATGACGAAACGTATGTTCCGGTTGACCCTTCAAATCTTCCAGGGCGTCATTTTTTTCATAGCTCGGATCCCTCTGAAGTGGCTTATGAAGAAAAAGTACGAAAAAAAGACAAATTTCCAAAGAAATATTGCATTTGGCAATGCATCTCCAGTCACGGACATGTATCAGACCCGGTAGTTCTCGAAGGGAATATCAATCAAGATATTTATCTGAAAAATTGCGTCAAGGCTGGATTGGAAGCATTTATTAATAGGTTTCACAAAAATGATAAAGTTTTGTTTTGGCCTGACCTCGCCACTTGTCACTATGCAAAGAAAGTGACCGAGTACCTCAGAAAGAAAAATATTGATTTCGTACCAAAAGATATCAACCCACCTAATGTACCCCAACTCCGCCCAATCGAAAAATTCTGGGCACGTTCTAAGTCAGTATACTCCCGGCTTCAAGATGTGCCTGACACCTTTCGAAAATTCAAAGGACGATGGAAGAAAATCACCTCGGAAGTGGCAAAAACTTCGGGAAAAAATTTAATGAAAAATCTTCGCAAGAAAATCGAACTAGTCGCCAACGGGGGTGTGGCGGCCTTAGCTATTAATTAAATTATGTAGGTACGTATTTGGTATTATACATATGCAAAAAGTTTAAAATTCCGATAACTCATTGTGATTTTATGACCACATTTTCAGACCATTCCCATTCATTCCCGGACGTTCTTTATATTGGGTGGACGGCATAGTTGGCGTGGTTGGTGAAGGGTCTGTGATCTGCATGTGCCGGGCGAGGCGGAAGGAGAAGAAGTCATCTGCAACATGGGCAACGAACGTGCCTGCTTCGTCATTATCTTTGAGCCTTTGTTGTCTAACCTTAACCCAATAATGGGCCAAGATCTACCTGTTCTTCTTCTGACCACCAACCAACAACGCCATCCAGACACTCACTTTCAGCCAGTCCGCGTAACAACCAGTTCTTTGGCTTCGTCGTCTGGAGCCAGGCGAAGAAGAAGAAAAGGATGGAACTCCGCTCCAAAAGGTTGACGTGAAACGACTTCCTCTCCTCCGTACTCACTTCTGCTGATTTTGCAACAATTAATTAAGTGCTTGCCAAAAATTGAATATTCCGTGGCTCACGTTTTTTTTACTGGCAAATTGTAGTTATGTAAATGTATGCGAGGGTATGCGAGGTGGGGCAAGAGCAAGGATTTCCCCATGCATATTAATCACATTCTTATTATTCCAATCATATTTTGAGTCATCATGTAATGCATAATTATACATGTGGCCGAGGGTTTTCTGCGCATGTTGTAGTTCCCAAAATTGCACAAAAACTGTGCTGGCCACCACCTTGTGTGAACCACGCTCGCCGCACATCGTTTTCATTACATTACTTTTGATGTTGGACGTTTGCATTACAAAAGGGTCAATTAGCAGCTGAGCTGATTAATGCGATGTGATAAATGAGTAGGCATTACATCGAAGGAGCCCATAAAAATGTTGTTATTTAAATAATGGCGTGTTTTTCTGGGAAATCTTTCCTCCAGATTCCCAAAGAAAGAAACTAATGTCTTGGACAATGAATAATGAATGAGCGAGGCAACTGCCGATCGAGGTTCAGGCCAAGGTCTTGCCTTGCCTCTCAGTCAGTCACCAACGCATGGAAGCAGCCACAATTCAAGGAAGACATTGAGACCACACTCATGACGAACTAAATATCGGTGCCGATATTCATACTGACGTTGCGATTATGCAAGAAATCAGGATGTACGTACCTATGTACATATTGTACCTGGGAAATACATGGCAAATGAGCATATTATTATGTACCTCGTGGTAGTGGCGGCACTTGCAGTGCATGACGCCATCCAGAATCCAAGCACAATCAACTCGTATTAATGAGGATTTGTAAAAATTTAGTAAAATCAGAAACGAATTTGTTAAGGGTGAGATAAGATTATGAGGGCTGTATGAAAACGAAAACTGCACAGAGATGGGAAATACTTGTGCGTTTACGTACGGATTAACGGGCAGTGGTTTATGCAGTGATGGTACGCTACATATGTAGAATACTGGTGTGGATGAAGTAGTGGTCCCTTAGCTCGTAAAGGGCTTGCTGCTACACCCACATCTGCCTCGACGACGACGACCACCACCCGCATCATCTCTCATTGTTACCTAGGTAGAAACCTGCTCATACATTAGTAGTCCGTAGTGAATAATGTTTTCCGTATCCCCAACGAAGCATAAGCAAGTAAGTTAGCGTATTGTTGGTGAGCACTCTCTTGTTGTTTTGGCTTCAGTCTCACTGAGCGAGTTCCAGCGTGCGTACGTTCATGTAGAAGAAGGCGAGTGTTGACTGCGCTTGTCTTTGTCTCCATCAGAAGTGGTCACTCTTCTGACTCCGATTTTTCGGAGTTTCTTCTCAGCCTGATTCCCTGGCTCCCGAGTTTTTACCAAAAGTTCGGGCTCTCGACCACTCTTTCCTCACTCAACTCTGGCCCAGACACCACCACCGCTGACCAGGTCGCCACGTACTCCTTCCCACCAAATCCATGTAGTCCGGTGACGAGCCAGTTGTCAAACTTCTCGGTCGAAACAGGTGCAATACCTAAAGACACGTTGGAAACACCTCTTCGACGGAGACATCCACACGATATTATTATTATCGCAATAATATTCAGCTAAAAGGCTAAAAAACGAAATAACTTCCGGTGAAAAAGTCTAATCAGCGTATTTAAATAGAAGTGAATAAATAGGGTTGTGAACATTTTTGGGACAAGTTTTTTGGTGGACATAAAAGAACAAGTCACTATTTAGTGGTTGGATGTAGAGGAATTTATTTGTTACGTTGCTCTCGTATTCATTGCGTCACACGGCTCGGCTCCCAACAGCGGCAGGTACGACGACATTTCACTCATTCACACTTTTCCCCCTAAACCCCACAAAAGAGAAAGCGGAGAAAGTCTGTTGTTTTGAGACTGTTGTGCTGTCTCACCTGTCCAAGTCTCGCATAGCCCCGAAAGCAAGGCAAGCAAGCCACTTTCATCACCTAGTAGTTGCTCACATGCGAGGCGGTGTAGTTGGGTCATCCAGTGTCTCATGGTGGTAGGAGAGTCGGTCGTCATCGTGAAGCCAGTCTCAGTCTCAGAGTACCGTTCAGGAGGAGGTGGGGATATGAAGCGTGTGCTGGAGTTGGAGGCACACCACCCACCACTGATCCAGCACCTTTCCAACGGTGGGGGCAAGATGACCCGTCTCTCGCCCTCCTCCATCCCCACAAATAACAACAACAACACCCTCGCCACCATCAATAACCTCATCAACGCGTCTGCCCTCAACCTGGCCCCACCCAACCCCATGCTCCTCTCACGTCTCGTCCTCCCACCCAGACCATCCCCGGGGGGAAGTGAGACGCCCCCGCCACAACACGACAGGGACCAGGAGGACGCAGACTTCTCCGACGAGGACGACGAGGGGCCCAAAGATTTCAGAGGTGAGGTCCCTTCCACTCCTGTTCTCGCTTATTATTGTCTTATTATTGTCTTATTATTGGCTGCTCTGTGTTTGTACCTTGGCATAATCATCCTCATTATAATTATTAATGCGGCATAATCCAGAGTCACGGGCAGCCATCCATTCATGTATTTGTTTAAAATCAGCACGGCACACGACACGCAGGATTGAGAAAGTGACCCTTTCTCTCTCTCTCCAGCTCTTTTGTTGTCCTCCAAGTTTGTCCAACTAGGAGGACACGGTTCAGCAAGTTTGATGAAATTCTTTTGAGTAGGCAAAGTGCTCGAGTAATAATTCATGCGACGGAGCAAAGGTCGCACTAAATTCGTCAGTTGTTTCAGTTTTAAGTAAGAGTCAGCAGATGAGGAAATGACCACTCTGCTTCCTGGATGTGAATCAGATTTACAGATTTTGGGGCTTTGGTCAGCGTGCCTAATGCGAAGGCTGGCGTGTGGGGACCCTTCCTCCTCCGTCGTCTTTGTCCCAGTTATTTATGTCCTCTCTCTCTCTCTCGACGACCCAAACTGGTGCATTGTGGATGCAATTTAGCATCAATTTTGTTCGTGGAGGAGTTGTGTAGGTGGTGGAGGAGGAGGACGCACTGATTAATGCGGGCTGATCTCCAACTCATTTCTCGGGCTATTGTTGCTGGGTTGGAACCAAAGCTGACCAGATTTCCGAAAGCACCACATTTGAATGCAATTTTGAATTTCAATCGTTATTACAATTACAATCACACATTATTCCCATTGTCCAGGTTTGAATGGGGCGAACAAAGGTGGCCATCCAGCCCGTGAACTGTGAAGTAGTTGGGTGTATGGACTTTTAAGCGAAAAATAAAATAAATACTTGAGATTATTCATTTCTGTGGCCGAGAGCATCCAATGTGGCAAATGGGTCAGAAATAATTTTACCACAATTCACAAAAATCCAGAGCACAAATCATTAAACTGACTGACTGACTGTTCACCCACTCACTCGTAAATACGACGTGCCTCATGTATGCACATACATCATGCATGCGAGTTGTTCATGCAGTCTCAAAGAAATGAAAATCATGTCTAAAATGACGACCATAATTTCCAGCTCTTGTTTATTTTACGACCTTCGAATCCATCCAGCCAGCAGAGCAGCGTCATCATAAGTATGTACGCACATACATAGTTTTGATCCTCGCATACATACATGGATTCATTTATACCGTTGCATTGGGTAATGAATTCGGTAACAAAATTCATTCAACAAATCAAATCCTGTGGAGGATTAAATCCAGAGAGAGCACAATGCTCCAATCGCTTCGTTTCCATTCGAAATCCGAATTCGTTAAGGTCTGGTCCACACACTCCTCTGAACGAACGAAATGACGAAATTCTGCTGCTGCCTGTTCTATTCTAGGCTCACCACCATTTAATTTATGAATAATATGCTGATGTACTCCCACACCACCACCACCAGCACGAGAGAGCCATGTATGTATGTAAATAACAATGCCACCCTTCTCCCCCACCACATGTAGTAATCGAGGCGATGGATATCCGTCCATGACCCACCCTACCTCAAAATGCCTTGTTCCCTTAATCACGACATGAATTCTTCACTGAAATCAAATGTAAATCGGTTTCCGAATCAAAAATATCAAGTTACGCAGGAGGCCAACCATCTCAGAAATTCTGTTCTGTGTCATGTCAGCATAAGATTTGAATTTCCTATAGGTGCATGCATTACTGTAGTCACTCCTGCACGGTAACTTTTTATGGACCAATTGTCAATCTCACGTCACATGTTGAATGAATTAAGGGCTATCGAATTATTAAAAAGATTGTGCAACATCTCAGCAGAGTCCCTTGAAAATATTGCCACTAATGTAGTTTAATGTGGCTTTACTGCTAATTGAATAGCATTTCTTGAGCTCATGCATCGCGTTGGTTGAAGCGAGAGAGTTGAGAAGAACAAACTAATTCAGATCGTTAAATAAATTGAAAGAATAATTTATCTTGAGCTGCATTAATGTACCAATCTCTCAAATCTCTCAAGTTGGGATTGAATATTGATGGAGACACACAACAACAACAACTTTGTGTCTGCTATTTGTTCAACAATCACTTTTCCTTGCATTGCACCCCAAACGCAGGATCCACCAACCAACCAGCTTGGAGATTATTCACACTGAGATTGTTTTTATGTAAATGTTGTTCTGATAAAAAGTGGTTCAATCATCACTTCAAACTGCTTATCAAACTAAATGAGTAAATTAGTTAGTGTCGAGTCGTATGTATGTATGTATTGCGTTGTTTGTAAATGAATGCAGTAAGGATTTTTGAACTATAAATTCCTCGTTTACGTAACACAATTTGTTTACACACATTGCGATGATGATTCATGAGTAGATTTTCTCGTAGTTTACAGAGAATTTAGAATTTATTCTGCTGCGCTTCCAACTAAATATTCAGGAGGACGTTTTCCCTGCTTGCGTATGTAGTTTGGTAGTCGGAGGAACATTTACTTAAACATTTTGGATGGATGATTGAAAAGCGAAATTGAGTTGTCTGGTGCTGTTTGTGAAGATAAAAAGAAGTTTCAAATGTCCACCACCACGAGACCATTCAGCATTTGTCCTTTATTTGCTGGCATCACAATTCGGAATTAGAATTGATCAGACTCCCTCAAATTCTCCACTTCTTTTGATCTTTTCCCATTTTATGAAAACTCGGCCCTTCTCCACTTATCATCATTCCCCCCAACTTTCCACCTATACCCTCCCATTCTCCTATCTCACTATGTACGTACGTACGTACGTATGTATATGCACTGTAACCAGCCACCAAGAACATCCAATTTCCAATAAGTAACCCAACTTAAATATAAAATACGCATCTTTTTTCCGTTTGTTTTAACAGGAAAAAGTGGGTATTGGATTGCATGTCGATCCTTCATAAAGAAAGGGCTGATGGAGAAAGAATTGATGAGATGCAATTCGTCAGCCCGACTTCCCTCCGCCTCCTTCCTTCAAAAACGGCATCGAGCCTTTTTTAATGTCTGCGCCTGTGGTCAAAAATTGATTAGCATTTGACCATACAGAATTTGTGATTGATTTCCTCTCCTCTACGTACATGGTCGATTATTTGCTTAATAAAAATTTTATGAATACTTGAAATTCGTGGAATGGAATATTTATCGAGGGATCATCGAGGGAAACTAGAGCATTTGGATCGTCAAGAAAATCTCATCATCGTAAAGCAGAGAGTGTAGGCAGACAATAATTTGTGAGAGACAGGTAACAAATGAGACTTCGTGCACAATTTACATCTAATCTAGTTATCCCCGCATTCAAATTTCAGCTCGTTGAGCAACGCTTGGGGAGGTCCTGGCCATATTTGAAATTTAGATGACGCAGACATATTGCCAATTGTTGAGCTTTTTTTCTGCTCAAGAGAACAACTTGGAAATATGTAAACTGATTGATTGGTCCATTATTGCTCTAGAATCAATCACCACGTATGCATGCATGCATGCATCGCTATATTGCACGTAGCTCCACCATCCAATCGCTTCGAAACGACCATTTTGAAAGATTTAGGACGCAGAGAAATTAAATCATGGGTTGGGCTATTATGCAGCATTGTTAAATATTATGAAGCATAATAATTTCTCACGTACATAATTAGTTAAGAAAATAAATAACAGTAAGAAATATTTAGCGGTTGTGGATTAGAAAAACGGAGGATAAAAAAGAAGTTGAAATTAATGCTTTTATTCAAGTATTTAAATTTTATCCACCATCGAGTTCCAAAAATATAAAAAAACAACATCCAATTCGAGTATTCAAATGGAAATCAAATCCAATTTCAGCTTTCTACCTGAGACGGGGGGAGAATGAAGGTCTCCTATTTTTGTAAATCTTTTCTCTCCGCGATGAAGGCCCCCCGTGCAGAGGACAGATTGTTTTTGAGCCCTTTAGGGATGAAAAATCGGGAAATTATGCTCACTTACATCAAAGCCATAAACTAATTTAAATTTTAAAATGTAGGAATGTAAATTGTTTCGTTTGGTTGAAATATATACGATGGCGAGATGTTAAATGAGGATCTGATTTCAAATTCAGCTTAAAAGAGGCAATTTAAGTGGCTGACGACTGGTAGTGATTCTCAACATGTTCCCCACGGTAGGGGGTAAATGCATGCAAAGTCGACTCTCATAATTCTGAGTGAGGGACATTGCAACCGTTCCGTGAACGTTGACTCCAATGACAGCGTGGAATAAGTAGGAATGCGTATTTGGAACGTACGACTTGTGGACGAGCCGCACATCAGCCAATCCGTTGTGAATCGTGAATTGTATAATTAACCCAAATTTTCTGCCCATTCTCTTTCCTTTGATTCATGATTAAGATTGCTCTCTTTTGCCCAGACGAGACTCCACCATCCATCCATCCATCCATCCATCCGCAGGTAGATTAAGACGGATAGAGACAATGAGGCAGTTTTGAGCTGAATGTTTTAAATTATTATCATTTCCACTCGGTAACATTCATCCTTATCATCCTGTCCATCAGTAGTGGCAGTTTTTTCGTCTTCTTCTCCTCCTTCTGCTCCTGCTCCTCCTGAGTGCTTTGTGCATACACAGTTGGCTCATGATTTATACAAATATTGCTCCGCTCAATGCATGCATAATTCAGTAATTTACCAGGCAGATTAGACAGCAGTACTACACTCATTATGCGCCTGATTATTATTTGGATTTGGAGTAATCATCTGGCTTGGTGGAAAATTGAGGCATTTGGGAAACAATTTTAATATTATCATCATATTCAACAAGTCATTACGCATGATTTGCTGAATCGTTTGGAAATTTTCAACTACTTTGCATGCACCGATGACGAATATACGGCTTAATACGGGGAGTATTATTCATGACCTGTAAACAGCCATGTAAGCTCATGTCTGAAAATTCGCTGCTATATATTCCTCTCGTCTTTGCGTC